AAAGTGCCCTGAGTCGTTTCAGTCTCATTCGGGAGTAGATTGGAAAAGAGCATGGGGGTATGCTCTCAAATAAAGCAAGTTCCCTACTAAGCATCCTAGAGGCAAACGGAAGCAATGTTCTATCCGCTCAAGGAGGGGTTTTGCCTAGTAAAGGTGGGCGTCTAGTGAGACAATATTTGTGTAGTTTATGATGTTTATGACGCAACACTCCGGTTCTCTGAAAAGAGGTCTTTGCATGTAGGACGAACGTGAATGACCAGTGAACACTTGCTGATGATTTGCCTCCTTCAGTTTCTTGGGCGTGAAAGTCACCTCGCAAGAGCCGACCTGCAAGAGTTTTGAGGACTTTGAAGGGACATGACAGGTGAAAACGAAAAGCTTCAGCAACATCGTCCCTGGTGAACCTTGTCCCCTTCCAAGTTTGCTGAAGTCAAGTCCCGTACCTTGTCAAATCAAAGCCATTGACTTTTAGTTTAAGGATCAACATGGACTAAGCTCACTCAGAAAGGAGAAAGACATATATATATATATCTAAACTAAACAGGACATGTCAGTCTATATAAACAGGTGTAAAGGAACAAGAAAAAGGAAAAACAACAACAAAATACATATTACAGACCAGCCAGTAGCTTAGCTGCCAAGCCTTTTCTCAGCGACCGACCAATTTGAAAGACTCCAAGTGTTGCGCTGCAAGGCCAGGAGTTTTCCGCCCGGCACGAATCTTGCTGATACGGACCTGATGGCACAAACAGAACCATTTCAATCTGTTCTAATTAATGGTCCCGCGTCATTCGTTTGTCGGTTCTAATATGTTCTAATAGTTTGTTTCTCGATGGTACTCCATTCACCTGGTTTGTTGGATTTTGCATGATGTTGCATTCGACGTGCCAGGCGCTGGTCTGATTGTTCGTCCTCTGACTCTAATCGTCAGCGACTCAAAAAAACAAACTGGGCTGGGAAGCATTTTACATTACTTTTCATACAACTTTAGGACAACTGTGCCCTAGCCAAGTTGCTGGGTAACCCAGGATGGCGGCCTCAGACCAAGACTCCAGCGTGTGGACTCTCACCAGCAAGTTGATTCAGCAGCTCGGGTGCCCACATAACCCAAGGAGTTTCGTAGGATTTGGCCGCCTCCTTCCAGTACGGAACCGTCCACCTCTCGACATGCACGGAAGCACATCGCCACAAATACATTCGGGTGTACCAATTTTGGTACATACTTAGCACGGGCTCAAAAAGAGTGTGCAACCCATTCTGTGTCTTGCAAAGGCAAGCGGTGGGCTGTATTTTTGAATATGCTTGCATGCTTTGGCCTCAAGTACCGCGCTGTGACCAGCGCTTCCTTGCCTGGACGAGGCATAATGCACATCCATCGACACGCGTCGGAATACATTAGCCCAAAGCATCAAGCCACAGAGAATGTATCATTGCAATCTCCACAGCACCGAAGTGCTCTTGCACGCTGTTGTCGGCAATTCAACATCCCCCCCTCCTTGACCCAGTTGGTGCGGCAGCTGGACCTGACCAGAATCAAACTGCTCTTTAGAAAGTCAACTGCCTGCCCCCAATTCACACGGTTATCTCAGTTAGGAACCCTGAAAGAAGAGATGAAGTGGCTAACCCAACCACCAAAAGCTTCACCCAACCACCAAAATCTGTTCTGCTACACTGGCCGTTTGGAGGGTACCACATGTCTTCTGCTTCCCCTCTCATCCCATTTCATCCTCCCGGTCGCCTTTTCGTTCCAAGTCGATTTCGGCCGCTTGGGGGATATCCGACCGCTCAAAATCTCTCCGCCGCTTGCCTCCATCTCCAGTCAGCTTGAAGTTAATTCTTTCTCGCCGGTCGTCCTGGGACGAAAGACTGTCAGGCTGATATCTCGTCGTTTCAAGTTTAGTTTCTTTCCTTCGGGGGGCGGGATGCTTGGGTTTGACCTCCAACTGCAGGCAACTGACAACAATCTCCTGTCTCTCTCACATCCTTTTCTACCAGTGTCTGTGGACAGGTGGATTTCACCAGCACTCCTCGTACGTAATTGCCTCAACCATGAAGCTGCGCCCTTCCATCGTGCTCCTGAAACAATAAAAAGAAAAAGCAAGCAGGATCTGCTGCTATGGAGCATTGGCTCACGGCCACTTACTCGTTTTTGAACAGGACAAACTGAGCAAGCAAACTCCCAGGGGCTGAGCCGCTCCTGTTTGAGTCAACAAAATCTTGGGCTTGCTGGTAGTAGGCTGCCTCACATGCTCCAGCAGCAAAGAGCTATCGTACATCGCCTCTTTCCATCCAAGCTAGTATATACAGTAACTCGATGTGAGTCATGATCTGACGACTCTGTCTGCTTTACCTGCCTGAATGTAGGCGAGAGACACATGGCCATCCTGGCAAGAAAAAGTCGCAGGGCACTTTGTGCAGCTGTCGTCTCTGCAGAAGACTACTGTATACAGTCTGCAAGAACAGTTGAACAGTTGAACGGATCTTCAGCTGCAAATGCCGGTAAACCGACATGGGAACTGGAATCACAAGTGAGTCCACGGTGGCTGCTTCTTTCTAAGGGTGTGGCACTGGTGGGGTAAGGGTCATGGCTTCGCTTGTGCGACTCCTCCATGCCTTCCAACCAACTGTCCTGCACAGATCCATGGAATTCATAACTCATGTGCGATCGAGAGAGAGGGAGAGAGAGGGAGGTGGGGAAAATGAGTGTATATTTACCAAAAAAAATATGTTGTACTATATTCACACACAATAATATATTGTTTTAAATAGGAACCAAACATCACTGATATCTCAAGATCTGAGATCGCGCAAGTCTCCTTCAAGGCACGAAGACCCGGACTCTCAAAGGCGACTCCTCAGGCGTCTCCGGAAGACATCGAAAGGGAGCAAAGCGCTCAGAAAGGCTCCTATGCAGTAGACGTCGGCATCCCTGAACAGCAGAGAAAAACTTGGCAAAGATAAAACAAAAACAGACGCGAGGCAAAACAGGCAATGAGGCTTTGTTGGCTTCAAAAGTCTTGCTCGACAATTTTGGCAATAAAAGACCCAGATCGACCATTTTTGGTTGGTGGTGTGTCGAGATCAAGGTTCTTACCAAGATCGGTGATAATGTTATGTAGAGAAGTTGCCTGATGCGGTCCACCCGGGAGAGGAAAAACTCTTTCACTTTGAGCTCAACCGGCCCGGCATCGGCACAGACCTTCGGCGCTGTGTGGCACAAGATCGAAGGACTGCGACGGCTGACTGCATTGGAGATGAGCCGAGCAAAAAAACAAACTCATCCAATCAGTACAACTGAGTTACTACTGTCCTCAGTAAACTCCGCGCCTGCTCAAGCCTGTCAAGGTGATCCAGCTTGAACATCCGAAGGGCAAAGGTCACGTGCAGCCTTCCATTGTGCTCAGTTCCGCTGGTTTGTAACGTACAAGAAAACAACATTAAACAGGATATAAACAATATGGAAAACACATGTGCACCTACTACATGATGTCAGTGGCCTATCCTTCAAGCCCTAAAAAGGCAAGAACTGCTGCACCCAACCTCTCTCGTTGAGGCTTTCCTCCATGAGAGACATCTATCCATTCTTTGGGAACCTGCACTGCTTTGGAGAAGAGAAGAAAGCGAAAGCCACAAGAAAGCCACAACGAAAGCTTCAAGCGAAAGCAATGAGTGAACTGCCTGCTCAGAGATCTGCCAAAGGCCCAACGGGTCTCCATCCTTGCAAATCTGAGGAATGGAGTGCTTGAGGAATGGAGTGGTTAAACTTCAAAACACCGTGTCAATTGAACCGACATGTATTGACATGTCCGCCAGCATGCAAGTCCTTCTATAGCTATTAAATGCTATTAAAAACACAGCCGAATCTAAGTGGCTCAGCTTCAAGCCGCACAAAGCGGAACGAAGCTCCATGGGACGGGGCCACGCTTCCCCTTGTCCCCTTTCTCTCCTTTCTCACCCTGCAAGCATGCAGATTTGGAGCACGCGGCGAAGTCTGCACAAGGGGGCAACTGTTACGTAACTCCAATTCGTTGCACCTTCTTGCCCTTCTCGCCCTTCTCACCCTTTTCTTGGCCCTTGCCTCAAGCACAACCCCAAGGTACGTTAGAACGACTCAGCAAAAGGATCGCACAAGAACCATCAAGAACCCACGATCCCCAGGACCAGCCCCCGCCCTTTCGGGCCCCTCGCCTTTCTCACCTCCCCAGGCTCCACGTCCACTACCTTTGGACCTGAAAGGGAGTCAAAACGAGAAGGGCGACCGATCCAAAGGTGCACGTCTTTCCAGACTATGGCACCGATCAAACTGAGAAGGAGGTTCAAGTTGACGAGCTGCATATCCAGATTAAAGAAAAGCAACGATGCTGTGCTCCACTCTTGGAATCCCACGTGCTTTGGGACGGATAACCACCCTGGCAAGTTGCTGGTGTACAAAAATCAAAAGCTGTGCCGTACGTGATTCATGATTCATGATTCATGGTTGCACAAGCTGGTGCCTTGCTGCCCCAGGCGTTTCCCTTCATGACTGATCCGCAATAAAATGATCTGCGTTTGTCGCTGTAGCAATATGGCTGATATACCTTTCTACCTTTCTCGGCAAACTACTTGCATCAAGCAGTAAGGCGGAGTTTATCAGACTACCTTTGAGTGCTGTCAAGCGTCACATAGATTGGGATTGGAAAATGATCAGATCGATCTTTGTTAAATCGATTGTGGCACTAGCTCGGAGCTTTTGAAGTGTTTGGTTCAAAACTGCCAAAATGCTTTGACACACGGTTGAATGCAATGATTTTACAGTATATCATTTGTGTCAGTATATATTTGGCTCAAAGGCTCAAAGTGAGGCTGCGCAACAAGCAACTCATGCAAGGTGAGGCTGTTTGTTCTTTTATGTTTACTGTAAAGAGCAGTGAAAAGCAACAGGTCGCATTCCGTGAAACCAGTCAGTATGCAGTTTTGAGTCTACGCAACGGTACAGTAACATCTTGAACTGAGAGCAAGACAGTTCATTGTACTTCTCTTCAAGGTCACTGGCCCGCCGCGCAGCCACAGCTCCATTGGCACTTTCAATGCTGAGCCTGTGCTTGACTCGGCCCCGGCTGAGTGCTGGTAACCAGTATTCGCCCCCCCCCCCCAGCCATCAAAAATGGTGCTGCAACCAACGCTCAAAGGACTTCGAGGTCCCGACTTCTCCGTGTAGATTTGAAGGTCGGAGACAACCTGCACAAAGCAGCGCAAATCACGAGAAGTTGCACATCTTACGGCTACGACTATGACTGCTACCACGGCGACGATTGGTACTTCTACCTACCAGTTCTCCCCTGTATTCAGTCAACAGAATCAATCTTACTTTGACTCTCAGTGGGCATTCTTGCCGCACACATAGAAGGGTGCTCAACTTTCGCAGTTTCTTCCTGAACAGTCCTGCGGTTCAGGGAGCCCCATGTCACGAAGAGTTGTTTGATGTTGTTTGCACTTTTATTCACAAGCACGTCATTTGTTTATATCACTTTCACATTGTATTTCTGTCAAAGTGCCTCTTTAGAAAGAACCTAGACAAGCTCCGCCTTCTGCAGTTTTTCACACCGATCTTCGAAGTTCAGGGCCGTTTGGGTCATCTGCGCCAAGTGCTGCCGCTCGTCTGCCAACCTCACGTCGCGCCCGGGCGATCCGAACTGACTTCCGACCTGCACTGGTCAAGAGTAGAGTCATGCACAACTCAATCCAACCCTAACCCTTGTGCCAGCTACCAACATATACCAACATATGGTAACGCAGCTGGGAGAGTGAGGGGATGCTCAAGTTTGGAACCGTTGGAGCCAGGATTTTGGACATGCGTGGAACTTTGGTGGATCTTGCGCAAAAATTCACTGGTGACATGTCCCCAGAGCGCATATGATGCACAAACATCTGCACAACCGCCCACTGTCAGGGCTGCGCAAGGGTGCAGTTGCAGTTCAGTGTGGAAGGGAACTGGGCAATCCTGGATGCACTGTCAGGGCTGCGCAAGGACAACTTGAGTTCTCAGTTTGTTAGCGTGTGAGTGTGTGACAATCCTTTACGCACTGTGACGACTGAGAGGGCTGCGCAAAACAACTTTGAGGCTTCAGTTTGTCTGTGACAGTGGGGACAGTTCTACCCACTGGTTCTGCCGGATATATAATATGCATGTATATTTTTTTTTCACCATATGTTGCTGGAACAGGAGAATATGAAAATGAAGACCTTCGATTGATTTTTTCGCAAAAAAAATACCTTCTCAAATTTCATCGCGGATCTTATCGGGATGGATTGGACGGCATCTGAAAGGTCGTTTATATACTTCAAACAAAATATATACAGTAACCCTCACACACGCCTACTTGAGTGCATCAAAGGAGACACTTTCTTTGTCATCCTGCCAAACACAAGCCAAGACCGTTAGTTTCAGTTTCAAAGTTTCAGGCAACTGGGTTCTTCATCTCGATTTGGAATCTCCAGCCCAGCTTCTCTATATTCACCAACGTCTTGGCTGCAGGCATTTCTGGCAAATGTTCAAGACGCAAGTCCTGGTAATGCTCAACCCAGTGAAAGATGGACATATCATCATCGCTGGACCACAGTTGGTCTGAACAGTTCGAGCCTCATGCTCTAAACATGGTCATTGAGGTCCTTGTGAACAGAAAAGCACCGTCTCTCCAAGTCCTCTACGAAGTCACCTTGGTCATCCGTTGTGGTGATGGCTACAAATTCATCTCAAAAGGTTGCTACAGAAGTGGTGCAAGGTGCAAACATGTGCAGTTGGAATTCCTTCTGCCGCGGCGCTGAGGAGTTTTCGCTGCTGGCGCTCCTTCTCAAGCCTAGGAAGAGCGATAAGATTCGGCACGTGCTTGCACTGCGGGTTACGACTACTGCCCCTTGCCTTCAACCTTGCTGTCAAACATTGTTTTTTGCAAACAATATACATATATATATATACATATAACAAACCCCAAATTTTGTGTCTAAAGGTCCCAGGTCTGGAGGTGTAGAAACAAAAGAATCTAGAGATCTATATAGGTGCAACGGGTTCCAGAATGAAGTGATGGTGGTTATGATGGTGGTGAGGAAGACCGCTGTCACCCCCGTCACCACCGTCACCACCCTCACCACCATCACCACCATCATCATCACCACCATCACCACCGCCACCACCATCACCATCACCACCATCGCCACCGACACCATCAACACCATCGCCACCATCACCATCACCAAAAGTGATCACCAACTCCGAAAATGTGCACGGCGCCACAACGAGAGCGCATTCAAGAAAAGTACCCGCGCCAGCCCACCAATTTCTGCGAGCACGCAGCACACACCGTCGAAACGCACTTCGAAGATCTCGAGGGGGAATGAACCTACTGTAAATAGCAGCGAAATAGCCGGACGCGGCGATGAGAGCCTCCGATCAGACACTTACCTGGACACACTGTTTGATGAAAAATGACCTTGATTGAAACAAACAAGATAGACTTAATTTATGATATTTATGCATGCTCATTTCAACCATGTACAGTAGTACATAAATAATCATCTATATATATACACACAATTATAAACAAGCTCGTTCGATTGAAAACCCACCAAAATCAACAAACCCAAATCAGCTCAGTAATTTGCGACGGCCTGAGCTGGCGACAGTGTCTCCAGATCTTTGGCATCAAGCACGGCCTGCGAAGGACACGAGTGCAACCCGAGGAACTGTGCCAACGAATGCTTTCCTTTACAGTAAGGTTCCACGAAACACGATGAACACTTCATGAAAACAGTGAAGCCGATGATCTCTGCGCTCAAACGCTGCGCCTGTTTCCAGCCCCGCTCAAAAGCACGTGTCTGTCTTTTGGACTCGTTGAGCTCTGCCAAAAACTTTGCCTCCTCCAAATGAGCCAGGCAGCTGTCAGATTGAACATGATTGAATTTCTTCAATCGAAGCTTCAACCCGCGGAAGGAAATGCAAAACAACTGACGTGGGTATTGTACGGAGGACTCACATTTCACGATCAAACGTCAGAAGCCATTTCAACTCTCTCGCATTGCTTCTTCTCTTGCAGCTGCAGATTACGCCATTGAGGGAGCCTGCAACAAAGAATCTGTGTTCCGGAGACTTGAGGAAGACGGTTTAGCGTTACAGGGCGTTATAAGGTCTTCTGCTTGGATGCTGTAATTAACACTGACTCTTGACTCTTGTCTGCTTTGTCACTGAGTTTCAGCCTTGGGGTCAATTGCTCTAGTTGACAGGCCCAGCACCTGACAGTCATGGCAGTTGAAAAGCTTTGGCAAGCAAACCACATCTCACCCAGACCCGCTGTCCGAAATGTTCCTGTGGTTTGATCACTGCGCCGCCTTCCCAATGTAGGTCTTATAAGGTCCGTATGATGAAAGCACATTCACCTGATTCCAAGAAAAGGCCACACTTCAAAGCTTGGACGATGTCCCGGCATGGCTAGTTGGGTTTAGTGTATGCCTATACAACTGCCTACGCGTGTGTGTGCGTGTGTGCCCCCCTCCATTTCTAGGAGCTTTCCTTGCAAGCACGCAGGGGCAGTGACAGAGTCTGTGGAATCACTGCCAACGAAGGCGCCCACATTCTCTGGTGAAGCATTGGGAGACGTCCTGATGCGTACCTGCGATTTGAACTGTCGACCCCTTCCGCTGTTCCTTGTTTGCATGGCGGTTGTCATGATACTCCCCCCAAACCGTTCCCCCGCCGATGTGCAGCGGCAGCGTCGCTGAGAGCTTCTGTAGTCAAGTGAAAACGCCTGTGTTCAAACATTCCTGTTCCGCGGACTCAACCACCTTTCCGTTGCAGCATTCCTTTCACTGTGGATTCTGGCACTGGATGAAACCTTATCTAACTGTGTCAGTATGTTGTCATGGTGCAGTATAGTATATATACATCAAGTCTATTCAAACAAAGCATTTTGCAGTCAGCTGTGTCCCGGCCTTGTCAACATTCTTCTCCTGCATTGTGAGAAGCCATAACTACAAAACTTTGAGATTGCTTCTCTACATGGGCATATCTTTCTGGCAGCCTTCTTAGCCCAACTTGCAGCTGCCGCCATGCGCCGCATTTCTTTGATGCGATGCATTTTGTTGCGCACAACCTGGGTCAAAGGGACCAAGAGCGCACTCTTGGCACTGCCAGATCAGCGTAGAGAAGTCGAGGAGATTGGACGTGATAAGCTGCAACTAAGGGGATGAGCTAGGGTGTGGACCATTAAAATACAAGAAACATTAAAGTGGACAAGTTGTGTTTTTCGCCTGCTCTGAGACTGTCACCCTTCGCCAGTATGATCCATCCTGAACAGCTCGCCCGGTTTGGAAGCACTCCCAATCTCCAAATTCAGTACGAACAAGAAGCTACTAGGGGCTCCTGACCTTACTACTAGGAGCAAGGACGCTACTAGGAGCTCCCCTGGCATCGCTACTAGGAACAAGAAGAGATAAATTTGGAGCCTCTGAGTCTCTGGAGTCTTGAGAGGGATTGGGATAAAATATATGATTACTGTAAATCCCCATCGTCTCGGAAAGAACCACCAAGCCTCATTGGGCTGAACCACCGTAACATCATTGCCATCGTCGTAAAGAACCAGAGCTGAGCCATCCCACCTGCCACGCAACAACTTAGGATCTATGCTGACATGCTCTTGAAGTGGGCCACATGCGCTTCGTTGTCAATGTAAAGTGTGTAAGATGTAGCTGTTGCTATGCTCTCAACTCTCAAAGTACGCACAGAAGTGGCAGCGTGGACATCTTGGAAAGAGCCTTGCAAGTAAAGCGGTACGAAGATCCCGTGTTTTTTGTCCAAGTCTCAGAGTGCACAGCTAGTGCACAGCTTGAAATCCGCTTTGACGGACTCATGCTCCAGAAGCACGGAATGTGGTTGCTACTCGTCTGCGCTACCAACAGCAGAATGCATCTGATAGATCTCGATATGTCCACAAAGTTCACTATCAAAAGGGTCCAAAACGTAATGGAACACCCAGTCCACGCAAATGAGCAGCACTAGTGCAATGACCGACAGCATCTAGCCGACCTGCGAACAGATTGTTGGGGTTGTCTCTGACATTGTCAGAAGCAAAAGTCTATTAACAAATAATCTCAAGAGGTCCTGGCTCATTGGCGCAGATTGAATTTGAAGATGGGAAAGTTTTGTCTCACACCATCTTGAAAATAATTCCCACTAACGATTGTGCTTCTCAAAGGAGTAGCACGTGAATGCGGCAGCATGAGTTGTCACGCTGGGATTCCTCCGTGAATTCGACGGTATAGCCTGCTACTGTCTACTGTATTGAGATGGTATCTGTACATTTTTTGCGCGCGCAAACTCCAGCCTACTGGAATCGTTCTCCAAGTTGCGCATCTTCTTTCCAGCCTGGGACCAACGAGTCCACCAAGAGGCAGTACTCTTTCTTGGCCAGTTCCTGTCGCATTACAAGTTTCAAGGCGCCTGCGAACCATGTCTAAGAAGCATCCCCACTGTTCACGAGGCGCTGAGACGATCTTCTCGCAAGATATGGTTGCCTGTGAATACACCGGTGCGAACCACACCCCTAGGGGCTCACAAAACGCCTTGTCCATGGAGCACAATTTGGCCCAAGCTCTCCACTTGGTTCGTGCCTCGGACTTGGCAAAGTCGCTTTGCGCATGTCTCGCAGAATCGGACAGTGTCCAAGTTGAAGTCATTCTTTTAGGCCGTTATTTAGAAACCTTCAAGCATCAAGTCCAAAAGCCAACGCACAAGCAGCGCAGCGCTCTTTTGCTTGTTGATTGGTTTTTCCTCCAGTGGTATTTGAGAAAGCTAAGTTCAGTCAAACTGGGATGGTACCCAAAGCCGCCACCGATCCCTGTTGACCAGAAGAGAGAACACCATGGAGGAAAGCAAAAACCGGGCACCCTGAGAGCGGGTCCATGGGTGTTGTCAGGAGAGTGAAATTTAAAAAGGGCAAGAAAGCTAGAGGTGATACTTCCGCCATTTGGCGCGACGTCCCGTCTGGCAGTCAGGGCAGAAGAGGTAGTCCGCTCTGCCCGGGTCCATCTCCTCCACAAACTCCATGCCCCGGTTGCCCTTCTTCATGTTGGCCTGGGACAAGTGCGCCGTCTGCTACAATGCCTCTCGGGTGGCCTGGCTCGTGGCCACGAAAAGGTTTCCAAAACTCGCTCCACCAGTTCTTGAGTGATCGGGTTGGCCAGAAAGGCGCCCACCAAGGAGACCAGCTCGTTGACCGTCATCTGGGACACCTTGGAGCGAAGGGAGGCCCGGATGGACAGCAGCGAATTCCCGCCATTGGACCAACGCCTCGCCATCCACAATCTTCGGAGTTTCAGAGCCAGCGGCGTCTGCCTCTCCGCCGGTCCCGCCATCGTGGAGAGTCGGCTCCCGCTTGCGTGGGCGAAGACGAGGCTCCTCCACAGGTGGGCCCGAGGAAGGAGGCGTGACCGGGTCAATCTCCATGGGAGCCGCCGCAGCAGCCGCCGGTGTAGAAGAGGTAGAGGCCGCAGCAGCCACGCTCGCCTCCTTCAAGTTTTCAAGGTCAACGGCGCCTGCACCCTCCGGAGGAGAAACATGGAGCTTGGACATGCCCTCGTCCATCTCGGTCAGCCTGGCATTGAGTGCGGCCTTGTTCAGGAGCACAAAGGTCTCCTCTCCAGGGGAAGCAGCATCCGCAGAGTCTGGCACGGTGCCCGACAAGGCATACGCGGCACGACCAGTGGCCTCCAAGACGGTCTCCTCCACAAGACACATTTCATCACATTTCGTTCTCCCTCTCCTTAACCTCAGAGCGGTCCAAGGTGAACAAGGTAACCGTGGGGGCATCGTCCAACAACTCCAAATCAAAGATTCCCGAACCGGAGCCAAACATGGCGTCAAGGAACGAGGGGTAGAACACAGGGATTGGGTTTCACTTCAATGAAGACAAGGACTTGAGCCAAAATGGCCAGGCATTTTGGCTAGTGTTTTGAAGAAACATAACCTGCTTTCCACTTCAAGCACGTACTTAAACATGTGTGTATATATATATATAGGAAGGCTGTGTAGAGGTGAGGTAGGGAGGTAGAGAGGTAGGTAGGTAGCTAGTAGCTAGGTGGCTACTAGCTTACTTAAGCTACTAGTATGGAAGCAGGATAGCTCACGCTCCCACAAATGATTTGGTTTCTAGATTCTATATGTTTGGGAAACTTAACAAAGTTGTTAAGTGATTCCTTTGTCTGAATGTTACGAGGCTCCGCACTTGTCATGAAGCAAGAACTCACTGCTACTGACCTTTACTAATGGCCAAGAAGCTCTGAACTCAAAGAGGCTTGGCTGCGGCCCTCGCACAGAACCCACAGTGGCTTGTTTCTGCAAGGCATACAGCCTGCCAAACATTCTTGAGCAAGACAAACCATAGTCACAGGAAAGTCCAAGACTCCAAAACCAATAATTTACATCGACAGAGTTTTCTACACTATCTACACTGCTTTTGATTTCAATTGATCTGCAAGTGTCAAGTGATGATTTGTCCAGCAAATGAGCAGCGACGATGTAGGTATTAATAGATACCTAGTTGCGTGGGGTGTGTTCATTCAAGACTACAACTCCGCCCATACAATATCACAACGTTTTGCGCATGAACACTGTATCGGTTTGCAAGGTGCTCTACGGTTCGCACATCCAAGGACATATTGCATGGTCAATAGGTTCTTACCTCCCGTATCGTTTTCCAGGAAAACTGAAAAGAGCCGTGCTGGATATTGCATCCTTGTATGAAGTACTTGATTTGAAGATGAGTCACATGCATCATATATAACATGAATATATATATATACACATATATAATTTATATAATCATGTATACAGTACGTTACAGTACTGTAATATGCTCAATGAAATA